GCTAAAGAACACCAATACAAACAGCTTAGCTAAAAAGGTATGGTGGTTTGGATAAATTGCGAAAGACGTTATTGAACTTTCACCATACTTGTAACTAGGTTATTGAACTTCGATTTGGTGCAATCGAGCTACTATTTAATATTCAACATATCTAAAATTACACTAGGGGTAATTGAACTTTTACCAACTTGTAACTAAGCTAGTAAGCTACTGAACTTCAATTTGATACAATCACACCGTTGTACTTAAATTTACATCAGCACGCTCCATTCGGAGATGGTCGTAAACATTATAGAGAAAAAATATTCCAAATCGTGATTTCTTTTGGATGCAAGAAATTTGAGGCATTTGATGTTTTTATTTAGTTCCTGTTTTACGCCTATTTTCTAAAATTCACTTGAATAATATTATTCAACACCATTGATCTTGTAACATCGGTCTATATGATATTATGCGATATATTCAATTAAATATGAAATTATCTAACTTATTTAATTAGGTCTCTTATTTAATGTCACTTAATACCACTTAGAAGTTATAGCACTAGTGGTGCTAAATAATATTACTCAATTAATTTTTTTCTCAAACTCATTTTCAATCATAGATTTCTCCTATAAAATAATTTTACACGTGAATCCATAATTTTTTCTTATTTTTTAACCATATATTCTCAAAATTCACTTTTTACAAAATCTATTCTGAAAAACCCTCTACCAAACATAGGCTTATAAATCTTTTTTAAGTTTTTTGCTCTCCTCATTATGAAATGCAATATAAAGGACAATGCAAGTGTGGTCAAAATTTAGTACCTCCAGCTCCAGTGCAATTTACCCCATTTTACCCGTACTAAATTTGTAAAGGACAATGCCAGAAGTAAACTAAAAGGGGACTATGGGACCAATCGATTTAAACGTGTGCCAAAAAATGAATGGAAGAAGCAAAGTTTAGGGATTTTTATTTTTTATTCTTTTATATACAAAGACCCAGAACCATAGTTATAAAACCGGCCCGGCCCGGGCGGTCGGCCCGAAAAACAAGCAGCCTCGGACCTTGATCGGGCCGAGCAGATTAATTTAATTGAAGGGAAATTACAAAAAATCAAGTGTTTAAATATAACTTTTTAAAAATCAGATCCAA